CAGAACTTTTTCCTTTATATCACGAAAAACTGGTAGAAAGCAGTCCTTTTTGTTGCCTGCCAATCCTTTTTGTTTATCCAATAAAATGCTGATGAAACTGTTTTTGGACTGAGAGCCCTTCTTATCCTTCAGCTATTTTTTGGAAGTATGATAATAAAACATACAATAAGAATACTTAGTTCTAATACAGCGCTACTCAGCTGGGAAGCCCAGTGCGCTTTTACTCARAAAATAAATGTAATTGTCTGCATTCCACAGACAGAGAAATGATACACGTAGTGATCAAATGCCATCTCTCAGCAGTAAGAGGCAACACAAGGACCCGATCTCAGGTCTGCAGAGTCTTTATTTATTTCTCTAACTGTTTCCCAGGCTCGTTTTGGCCTGCATCCCCAGTTTTTTTGCAGACAAGATGCATGCTGCCACCAATTTACATTTAGCAGCTTAGGTTGAACTAGGAGATGTGCTTGGATAAGGACATAGCCATACCGTTCACAGAGGGAAACTGAAAATATTGAAATGTTTGCAGTTCAGGTTAGGGCATTATTTCTTCTTTTCTTTCTTTTTCTTTGGAGAGGCTGCTATGACAGCTGCCCTGCAACATGTTCATTTTCACAATATCTCTGATTTTAGTCATTGCTATTTTTCATGCTAAAAATGTGTTCAACTCCTTCTAATTATTTTCTTTGAAAGGACTTGTATTGCTCTTGCTTTTTGCCACAGAGAACAACTGCACACCAGTTGTCTTCATCTTGCACTTTGTGATTGCATGATCTCCTCTCATGCTAACCCACACTTTAATCTCCTTCTTCCTGCCAAGTGTATCTGTCCTGCTCTTTCCAAAAAACCTCTAGGAGTTTGTTCAGGATCTGGAAAGCAGGAAAACCATCGCACAGGTTTCCACCATGTCAGTGTTCATCCTCACTGACATGGCAAGTGGATATTCCTGGGATAGTAGTTSTAGTTCCTCGTGTGACTGTCTCAGCTATGAGCTGTCCCCCACTCGCACTGCAGGAAAGGGCTAAATTTGCCCAAATCCAAATATACCCAGAGAATCTGCTGACTGTTTTCTCAGCAAGCAGCTTTCATAAGAGTGTGACCTTTCTGAACTCTCAAAAATATGGTCACTCTAGAAGAATACACTGCTGAGTTTTTATTTTCTGTAGATATTTTTAGAGTTCGGAATCTGTCCTGATACAGTCAGTATTATTTTCCTGTGATCTGGAGTAAGGATTCTTGAATGAGCACATCCAATACACAATCGGAATGSAGTAAAACTGTGAAATTTAGCACACCTACAACAACACGACAGCATCCCTTCCCTGCCATTAACCTGGTGCCTCTTGCTGCTCGTTAATGTTTTTCTCTGATTTCCTCTTGGTGGTTATAAAGGTTTCAGAACAGCCCGTTGCTTGTTGTTGTTCTGGGAGCCTGGAATGCCACTGCGCRGTTGTCTGCATGACTCTTGATCTTGCATGACAAAACTGAAAAACAAAGGCAAAACTGAATCAGCAAATTAGTCAGCTTAATCTTGTGTAACTCTGTGCTCCATTTTCAGTGCTTTTCTTTTCAGCTATGCTTTCAGTTGACATGCCTATTTGAGCTTAACTATCGCTCATTTAATCCCTTGCACAGGATATTCAAGTAAATAATATGTAAAATACATCACCAGTTGTATATTTCTGATGTTTTGATTTAATCTTTTTCATTTGGCATACATAGTGTTAAAAATGCAAGATCCCAAAGTTACCAAAATGTCGTTTATAATGAGAACACAATGGGTTCTCTTTTTGCTATCATATTAATATTGAAAAAATTCAAAAAGAACCTTTTGTTTAAGGCCCCCTTGCTAGCGCTAAAAGGCTTGTAAACTAATGCTGTAACTTCTAAGACAGTTGATTGTGTTTTCCTATTGAATTTTAAATACCAAATGAAGACAAATGCTTGGAGATGCCAGCATGAAAATTGAAATCAGCTGATTCTTGTATTCAAAACAGCCACACAGCACCAACAAAAATTGTTGATGCAGCTCATGTGTTTCATAAGCCATAACGCAGGATCCTGTAGCTTAAACATACAGAATGTCCCTCAGTGTATGCCGGTCTGCATTTCACTTTTCTGCATGTACAGTTAGGACTTAGAAAAGGTGCTTTGTCTTTTACTGAAAATTTACCTGACTAATCTGTTTCAATAACACAATGGTTTTAAAGATTTGTTTGCAAATGCCAATCCCACAGCCTTCTTCTCAAAGCAAAACCAGTTTGCAGTTTACCATAAAAGTTCAAGCAAATTAGCACTAGTCACAATGTGCGATGTAGGCTTCAGTGTTTAAAATAGACTTTGCCTTTTCCTGTAAGTACATCATGCACTTATGTGATATTAAAAGTGTAAACATGCTGCAGGTTAAAATATATAGTTGTTAGATTTCATACAAGGTTCAGTCAGCTGATAAAACAGTGCTCCAAGAGGACACTGTTCTGTACATGAAACTTTCTAACCAAGCTTTTCTAGCTAAAGTACAAAGTCATGATGTTACTTATCCTCACCTAGGTAATTTTGTTGTTGCTCAAAACAGAACTACAGAGGTTTCATAGTAAGGGAAACACAGGAAGTTCCATCTCCATATGAGAGAGGAAGAACTTCTTCACTGAGAGAGTGGCAGGAGCCCTGGA